TCGCGATAAATGTTTTTACATGTGGGCACCAAGCGCGATACCAATCTGCATCAGCTCTAGAGATCTCAAAGGGTCAGTCGGTATAGGTCGAGGTTATGCGCATGCTCTTAACTTATTAATTAAAAAACACTTTCAATTGATTGTTTAAGAGTTGTCCGTCAGAATAGCAGGCACACATTTATTCAAAATTATACTATATTATTACATGGACATTTAATAACTTTGTAATTACGCAATCCCCTTCGTTGTTCCCTAGCGTTACAATCTTTTAATTCTGGACCGGGACCAATGGTGATAAATTTTGGGTTATCTCGCTGTAAAGATTTGCTCGTCGCCGTCCTGGATTCGCCGTCGCACGTCGAAGGGCTGACTCGGGCTTGCGTTGCACTGGATCGGTCCTGTGTTTGTTGCACGCGCCGATGACTCGATTGAAGGCTCTCGCGCTTGTACCGATGATAAATGTGTGTGTTTTCTCGCTGGCTGGAGCTGGTCACTATCCGCTTAGGAATGCACGTTGCGGCAGGAAGCTCACTGCGACGGGAGCTTTTCAGACTTCTGTCTTTCGTCCGCAGAACGGAATAAATTCCGTTGACGTGGTTATATCGCTTGACAACAGTTCTAAATAATACATCGGTTCCAGAGAATCATACGGTGGAGCGAAAACTTTGTAGCCTTCTTGTTGCGATTTCAAATAGTTACAAATCGGGAAATTTTTCAAAGAAATGCGTCTTTGCTTGATGAAAATAAAAACAGCCTCTCTCGATGGTTTTCAGACAGCATCTACCCTTCTCTGCCCTGTGTTTCCATCTCTTGTGCGTGAGTGCTCTTTGGTCACTTGTGTGTCGCCCTGTGCCACTATTAGCTACTTCTAGAATATTCTATGGGGCTTGTGGACAGCCCAATTCCCACATTGATGACCTACGTAATCTGATCATTCCAATAGGTTGTCATTGTTTAGCAACTGTTGACGAAGGGTGGCCGGAGGGAAATCTGCTGGGAGCCGACGCTCTGGGTGAAGAATTGCAGCTCGTCCCAAAGGATTAGTGAGGGAACATTTGCGAGACAAAGCTAATCCGAGTTTTTGCATTATCGTAAGTGTCATGTGCGCGGAACACGGTTTGACGAAGGTTCTTTGCTTTTGGAAGAGGGAGTCCCAGAGGGGGGCTTTGGAAAGGGTGACATTGTCTCCTTTTGTCGTGTTTTATGAGTCTTCGGGTCAGCCGGCAGCTAACGTGACGGGGGGATGGGGTAGGGAGAACTTCGGGGCGCGTGGGCTTATGACAATTAGCACACGTGAGATCTTGAAACATCTCAGTATTACAACGTGACTAGTTGTGCATCAAAGAGGAGGACATTTTAGATATCTTTTGTATGTATACTCCAGCGACAATTTAAAGTCGCGCCAAAAACAAAAACAAAGTGAGTTCAGTACTGGCAAATTCTTGCCAAAAACTGGAAAGACTCAATTTGCACAATTTTATTGCATTTTTATTTCTGGAATAATATTTCTTTGTAAACTGTACTAATTTCTTTTGCAAATATTAAGCATGTTTCTGGAGTGTGTCTAAGTTTCTGGAATGCAAAGTTTTGCCTAGAAAGCCTATTTTTCAAACCAACTTTTGAATGCTTATTGCGGCTCAGCCATTCAGAATATCCAATTATTTTATTAGATAAAATTTACTTAAATTGTCTTATGAGCGAATTAATGACGTTTATACATATATTCTGAAGAATGCTTCCCCCAGCTAGTAATGACCAAAATAGCCTGATGGAGAATCTCGCATATATCGTGCTCTTGTGAGCTTCTTATACCTCAGGACAGGGGGATCTTTTAGGATGTTGAGAGAACATCCAAAACAAGAACACACAAATCAACTAAACAGTGTTTAATAATAAATTCCTCAATGGAGTCAAAATAAATCGTTAAACTATTCGCACGAATGATCACTGGGAATTCCCTTTGTTACTCTAATTAAATTTGCTACAATTCCTATTTGCATTAACCAGGGTCATAATATACAATTTAACACTTCATACAAATAACTTTACTAAAAAAATGTGTGCAGATGCACCGCATTACAATTTCGCGGTTGCCGCGTCAACATAAATTAATATGGATTTTTTTATAGTTTCGTAGTCAATAGTGCTTTTAAAATGGCAAGAATCTCTGAATGATACTCTAATGCCTCCTGTATGCTTATTTCGTTCACAATTTCCTGGTTAACAAGTTCTCCCAGGTCGTCGTGAATTTGACCTAATTTTCGGCGTTTGCGCTCTTACCTCTTGCCACTGCGTCCTCCGTGCTCCAATACTCGACCTTCGCGCGCCTCGGCCTCTGCGCAGCCGATCGCGGGCCCTGGGTCGCCGGTGACTTCTCGCTGCCCTCTTGCGTCGTCTTCCGCGTCGCCTTCTCCGTTGGCTTCCGGTCTTCTTTTCCAGGCTCCTTTCGACCTCGTTTGCTTTGACCCCCTTGACGTTTCTGTTTACGCTCGCGGGCGAATGTTCCTTGCACCGCACTGAAGCACATAGTTCTCGCACTGTCCCGAATTTTGCCACTGATTGAAATTTACTCGCTCTCAGCACGTCCTATTTCCCCATTGTTCTGTCCCCAGTTCCACAATAACTGGTAGACTGGATTAACTCCTCGCGTCTTGTGTGAAAAAAACTTTCTTCCTGAAAAATTATAACGACGTTCGCGGACGTCTATCTAGGCGTCTGTCTGACATACAACACTCCTACCTAGTTACTCAGCGAAGTTGTTGCTGGATCGGGGGTCAAGAACTGATGGGAGTGCTGCTGGGTCGGCGAACGGGAACGAAAGAGGATGACGGATCGTGGGCTCGCCTATTTATGCACACGCCTTCCGTGTAGGGGCAGTGCGCGTCAACCCCTCTCCTGTCTGACTGTTTTTACGTTGTATTCCTCCGTCGTTCCGCGGGCATCGCGTGCGGCTTATTATAGGCTGCGGGCGCGCCCTTTTCAAAATTTTTCCGTGGAGAAAGTTTTTATGCTGTTCATTTTGTTGTAACTCCATTAGATGGTGCTGCAGCACAATATGTCGTTTAGGTTAATGCAATTCCCAATCCACCTAGGCTTCATTGTGGCTGGACATTGTTGCCGTGTGACGCAGAGCGAAGCCGAGGATGACATGAGAGATGATGCGGGATGGAGAGGAGAGAGGGGGAACAAGGGAGAGGACAGTGATGAAGGGAGGGAACAAAAGAGATAGTGAGAGAGCTAGAAAAAGAGGGAGCAGGGCAATATATACCGAGTTTTGTTATTAAAAAATAAGAACCATTAAGATTTTTTGAATTTTCATGACTTTATTTGTATGAGGTTAGCCCAAATATTACGCAGCTCGCCAAATCAACTGTTTACTTCTGTACAAGGGTTATCAAGACATTTGTGATCATTGTATCGTAACGAATGGTCCCAAAAGTCTTTGAAACCTTGGGTCAATGACGCCCATCTCGATCAGGTTTTTCGTCCAGTTTCCCTGATTCTCTGAACGAATGTAAGAGTGTTTTTCTTTACATTCTCATAAATGTAAGTTCACTATCTGTGCACGTGTTCTGGAATTCAGTGGGAAATATAGTTATTGAAATGATCGTTTTCCGTTTTGTCGCGGTAGGAAGTCAATTCCTTTACGAAGAGCACGATGAATAGAGTCCAAATCTATAGCTGATTTGCCTTTGCAAATAGTTTTTATTACACCAGCGCGAATATTTTCTTATCAAAAAACGTCTTGACAAAAATGCTCATTTTCATCTGTATTCAGTCTTCAACTGGTATAGTAAAGTCTAAGCCGGAATCGTTCGGAACACAATATCCGGTTTGGGGAGATTTCCGTTTTGTGCAAGGTAGTCCATTTTATGATTCTTGTGATATTGACGTATCTGTCCTGAAAGTAGTAAATTACATGGCTTATTATAATTATCAAAATACATTAACACATGACTATTTATGTAAGAAATCATCAATAAATGACGCTCGCACGGCCTTGAACAACGCGTATCTGGTCGAGGGGTTATGATTTTCAAGGGGCAGCGACACGCGTGATTAGAAGCAATGCCCGTGCACCTTTCCACGCTCAGAGTCGCGAGAGAGGGGACGGCTTACGCCTTGAGAGGCAAGTGACCCCAAGGTCGAATTCTGCCTCGACAGCTGAATGTGCGGCTGGCTTAGGGATAGAGAATTTAAAGCAAACTAGCAGATGGATTCATTTTATTAAGAACATCTCGTGTCTCTCTGCCAATTGCTTTAATTTCACAGGAATTCCGATTTACAAAGACTTTGTTCCAACAGGACATGAAAAAACGTTCCGTTTCCGCGTTGGCGAGGTTCCGTTTTATGCTGAGTAAAATTCCATTCTTTCTCGGGGGAAATTTGGCTGTTAGGGCTTGTACATGTTCCGGTTTAGACAGATTTCACTGTATATGGCTCAGGATAGGGATCCCAGAATTAAGAAAACGTGCACTGAACATACTTCTCCCCGTAATAGGTCACACAGTGTTTTACGAAAAATAAATAATATAAAACTTAGCAAAAATATTAAAAATATTTTTGATAAAAAAGTAATTTTTTTTTATTTTTAATCGGAATTTCAACTGATGGTAACTTGTAACTTTAAATACTATAACTTTTTTACTTCAAAATGTCATTATAGAGTAACGGATAACATTTTAAACTCGTGGCTTGAATTTTGAATCATCCATCATTCCATCCATCAATCCATCCAATTCAACCATCAAAATCTGAATTTAGCACATGAAATGTCAATTTTTTTGTTTAATATAATAACATAATAATATAATTAATAATATAAATAACTGTGTATATTTTTTTATATCTTCGAATTATGTACTATGATTAATACATTAAAAATTGGGGACTTTTTAAGGACATTCTGTATTATTGAAGTTTAGGGTCATTCAAACAACGAATGCCCTCGATCCCGCGAGTTCCTCTCACGGTGTACGAAAATATTCTTATTTCGGGTTGACTGTCGTTCTTCGTGCTGGTTAATAACCAGTGGTTATTGCGTCGTGAGTTGATTTGTGAACTGGGACAGGTTAAAGGATAAGACCCTCTAAGTTTGTCTGGCGTATACACATATAATCCTCATATAATATTATATGTCTATTGTGTGGGGCTATTTTTACTATGCTATTTATACGTATTATTTTGGCTATAATTATGATGGAAGGAACTCTTCGTCTGTTCATCCCCAACCAACTTTTTCGTGAACGACACTAGCGTTGCCAAGCGGTTTCGATGTAACTTCATCTCGAGCACGTGTTCATCCCAGCTGCACAGGAGCTTCTTATTCCCCACCGTTCACGAAATTTTGTATCTACTAGAGGGTTTTGCGTGTGGTAGTGTTATTCAGTGAAGTTTGGGGATTGGTGTTTGGATTTGATCTGTGATTGTGCCTGCTTATATTTTGTGATTATTTGAAGATAAGTTATTGAAAAGACGAATAACTTGCAGTGATGGGAAAATTTCGTACTCGTGTGAAAGGAAAAGGGAAACGTTGGCGAAAAGGGCAAAGTTCTAGCTGTAACCCCGAAACAAAAATCAATAGAGATGCTGCAAAATCAAGATTTTTTCAAGAACATACGCGTAAGTATTGATCCATAACGGATATTTAATTTGTAAGAATCTTATTGACAGTTTTCTGGAATATTTGTCAAAATGAAACAATTTGAGTTGTCATTCGAGAAGTTCAATTTTCTGGAGGGGTGCAAAGGCGTTAGTAGTTAGGAATAACTTCCTGATGAGTACATATTATTGTGAGCTACTTTCCCAATAGATTTTTCTGTGATTTTTTTCTTCATATTTTTAATTCACAAGCAGTAATGGAAACAATTTTTACAAGAAACATTGCACTTGCTTTTAAAAACAGAAACATTTCTGATGAACGACATTTTTGATGAATTCTGTTATTTAAAGTCTTGAAATTACATTTGGATTGTGTATCCATTTCTAGTTTCTTTTGAATTGGGTAAAATGATTTTAATGTCATGTGAGGCATAAGCAATCCTTAGGGGGAGGGGTATTTATGCATTTGATTAACTTCCAACTTTTGACAATGTTATCTCTGTGTTTAGCTGGTAAAAGCAACCTTACATCAGAAGCTCTGCAAAAACATAATGCTTTTATGAAATGTGAGATTAGAAATGAAGAAGAAGAAGTAGCATCTTTAGGGAGTGGTTCCATTGGTACCTTCAAAACATTCAATACTTTTGCTAGCGACTGGAGTGAATGTTCAAATATATCCTTTAATAAGTAAGTATAATTTTTATTTATTTATGAGTTAGATTCAAGGTATTAAATCAGAAAGGTGTATCAAATTTGCTCTCTATTCCTCTGAAAGTTTGGAACGTAGTGATTGGTTTTCAGGATTGTCATTACATAATTTCAAATAATGATTCAGTTTGTAACATTATTAGGAATTGTGAAAACTTTTTATTTTTACCAAATTATGGTAAAAAGCATTGTTATCCTCTCAAATTAGAGCAATTTAAACTATTTCCTTTAAATCATTTCTATTTTACAATTTTTATTTAAAGTTAGTGAAAGGTTAAAAACTGAAATGGATAAAAGCATTTTCTTTGGGTGGTGGTTGCAGATTACTTAAAGGATTTGATTCTAAATCTGCTCTACACAAGGAAATGTTAGCAGTGCTAGCTGCAGTTACAGAAGTAATTAAAACAAACGGTGGGAAAGAGACAGCAACCGAATACTTTGCAGCTTTGGTGAGTGTTTGTGGAGATGACAGATGGTTTATTGTCAATATTCATTAGTTTTTAATGACATAAGTGTCATAGACACTGATGTAATAAGACAGTTTACCGTTTCTTTTTGTACACTTCGACTCGTACTCGTTTTTCCAATGGGAAATCAAAGTTTATGTACAGTTGTTTATCTCTTATACTGCCAAATGTTATGATTGAAACAGGTACTAATTGTATATGTTACATGATTTTAAAGATGACCACTTTGCAAGGGAGTGAAAATGTGGACTGCATTACTGCTGTTTTATCTCTTCTTGGAATGGGGCTAAAGGCTGTGCCAGAAAATATCTTGAGATTAAAGTTTTCAGAAGTTTCAAAAACATTTATTGATTTACTGGGTCAGTTTGCAACATCATCCAATAATGTTATTCTTAGACACGTAAGTATAATTTTGCAATTCAGCTAGACTGCTAGACTGCTAGTTGCTTTCTTATTACATTTTTCTTTTTTCAAGTTAATCACTCATATAACTCTGCGTTTGTACAGTTGATCGGGTGCTTATCTGTATTGCTGAGGGCTCAAGATGCAGCAGTTTGGTCTAATTCATCAACAATTCATGCATTTGATTCAGTATTATCTTTCACTATACACTCGAAGCCAAAGGTAATGTTCAATATTAATGTAATATAACATGGTTATGAAGTATGTGCTCAATCAGGCAAATTTGTATGTTTAATTTATCATTATTATGAATTGCAAAGTACAACAACTATTTTTGGGAATTCCTTCTACTTCTGATATGTTTGACACTTGAATTTTCAGTCAAACTTAAGTTTGGGCACTTTGTTTGGGAGAATGGTGAAGAGAGGGGTTACACATGTCCTTTTTAACAAAAACATATTGGTAATTTTCCATTGGAAATATTTATGTTTTATGCAAACATTACAAAGGCCAAAGAGCTTCGCTATTGACTTGCAATTGTGCATGTAAAGAAGTCACTTTGCAATAAAAATTCATCATAATTTTCCAATTTCTTGAACCAAAGTTATATTGTATCTTCATATACTTTCAAAACCACTGACTATAAAAATATATTTCAAATGTGCCAAGCTAAAGCAATTTTTAACCGAACATTTAGAACAAGATTTGTGAATTTCTTTTTACGCCAAAAACGCTTTTTGGAAAGTCTTGAGAAAATATATTATAATGTTATGTTACTTCCCTCGAGGCTAACAACGCACAAGCATCGCGAAATGAAGTGTTGGTGACGACTGTCAATTTGACATCTGTTATTTAACCCTTGTGTGGTAGTGGTTCGATCCTGAATTATCACTCTATTTAACTGAATTTTGGGAATGGTATATGAAATGACCAATTATCCCTTGGATGTCTTCCCTTTTTTCATGTAAAATCTTGTTTAAGAAGTGAAATTATTCTCCATGTAAGGATGCTATGATTTTACAGTTTCACTTAAATTGTAATTTTTTTCAACAAATCCAATTGCAAAGTTTGTGACAAAGATGTTTGAAGCTAGTGAAACAGCGCACACTTTTTTGAATTATTGTAATGGTTAAATAATATTTTAATGCTAGCTGAACCCATGAAAATATATCACTCATTCATACTCTTATTGCATATGTTTTCACGGCCAGTACTGGATATCTTCACTTCACTTTATTTTAACACATCACTTATGTAGAACCTTATTGTTCTAATTCCATTTCTGTAATTTTTCCGGAGAGTGCTTTGAAGTTTCAGGACTAAACAAATTTTGATACTTACCAATGCTGTTATGATTAAGGGTTTCAATGAAAGAAACAGACTTCAATAATACTTATGTTATTAAACAATAACATTTTTTCTGAGTTCGACAAAATAATGGAAAAATGGTTAGAACAATGATACATATAGATTTTTAAAATGAAACTTCTTTAAAATCTACTTTATAAAGAATTAATTTGTAGTAACCTATTTTCTTAGTACTGAATCCCAAAATATTTTGTCTGCATCTAAACAATATTTATATATGGACTTCATACTTTGAGATTTAGATAAATCTAAAACTGATTTGGCAGGGATTGCTTTGGTTTGGGCAGCAGACCAACAGAATGTATTTTGTATCTTCTTAGCTTGGATTTCAAGAAATTGGTAACTAAAAATGTGATCAGAGAAGGAAAATTTGTTATTAACTTCAGAGCCACTCGTGTGTACATGTTTCATCTTGTAACAACTTGTTTCTAAGCAGGCAACGTGGCTTTGCAAGTGATCTCAACCTGCAAATATATTTGCCTGAGGTGGAATGTGAACTCGTAAACGTAAAATTTCCTACTTCTTGCATGATAACCATTACACCTCACCAGATCATACAACAGTTAAAATGCTCAATAGCATTCATAATAAATTCATACTTTATTAAAAATTTAAAAGTTTTAATGAAAATTTAGCCAAATATTCCAGTATATTGTGCTCCTTCCTTACAAAAAGTTTAAAAAGTAAAATCAAAACCTTTTTCTCAGAAAATTGTGTTTACATATTTCTGAAAAATTGCCACAATTTAACTCAAAATTATCTGGAAACTACCAATATTTCCAAAATTAAATGACATCAAGTAATATTGTAAAATATTGCATTAAATTAAAAAAGATGTCTGTAATTTCAATAATAAAGGTGTAGAACAGATCGGAAAACTAATAGATTTTAGGAAATTGTATGTGTAGCCAGAGCATACAAGGAACGTAAAAATGGCAGGAAACAGTTTTCAAAGGGCAAGAAAACGAGAAGCTGGGGCAATGGAGGAGAAAATTGAGTAGATTCAATTCAACGCTGTCCACAAGTTTTGAATCATACTTTCCTTTAAGCCATCAGTAGCGTTCTTTCTAAGAAATGACAGAATCTTTCAAGTTACGGAGTAATTCAAATTATCAACATTCAAATTATTGAAGTTAGGATGTTAGTTCAAATTAGTAAATGAAATGAATTAGTATAAAGATTTCAAAGTGCTGAATATTAATTTAAAATGCAGTTTTATAAAGTTTGCTTAAGACTCTTACCACATCAGTTTCTATTAAAAAGTTACCACCAATCTTTTGAACGATTCTAGATTAGTAAAGTGTAGAAATATTTGTTTAAACTTTATTAAGAATTGGGAATAGCATTGTCTGTGCTACATTTCTATAATAATAATTTGACATGACAAAAGAATAATCAATCAATGTTGATCAAACACAGTCCTTTTTATTATTTACATAATAAATTAAAATTTCACATAAATAACTAATGCATTGGTTGCTTTGTGTAATAATACATACTTTAAGATTGTAAATCTTGTTGTAATAATTAAAAAGGAATGCACTCTAATATTGTTTCATTAGTAGTTTACGAGTTTCATGACTTATGAATGATCATAAAAATAATGTAACGCAATTGTCTGTTTGAGGACATTCCTTGTGATCCTCAGGACATATCTGATATTCAACTTCATTTTGCTATGTTTCATGAATGTATGTCATATATTCTTCTACATTTATCTTCCTTGACAGTGTATAATCATCTGACATTCATAAGTACCTAGAATATGCTCTGTCATGTTACTACTAGGTCATAGGACAATTGCCAATGTGAGCTTCTACTGTCTACACTAATGTACAATGTATGTTTGTTGTAAGTACATGCAATTCAGACAGAAGAGCGGGCCTAATGGCCCGAGTCTCGCCACGTAAAAGAAGACAAATTCAATTCAATTCTTTCCTGAAAGCGATTAGTTATTTGTACTGGCGTACATTGTTAATGATGTTCAAAATTTCTTTCCTTGTTGTGCTGTGATAATTTACCATTTCAAGATTTGTATCGTTTTATGTTTAAAGTATCATGTCAAGTCTACTATCATCCATATCTTATCAAATGACAATTAAATTCATACACATTTAGAGAGGAAAAATGAAATCACAAAAGGTAATCAGTTTCTAAGTGATATGTATGGAAGCACAACTCTCAAGATCAAATGTGTTAAAGAATGTTTAGAAGAAGAAAATTTTGTGTTAAGCGTACCAAAATCTAGGAATAACAGACTGTTTTAAGTTTATCTCATATATCCAAAAGTCTTCAAATTTTTTCGATAGTAATTTATGGAAAATTGAATGTGGCATGACATTTTCTATATGAAATTATATTTTGATCTTCTCTCTGAACTCTAGAGTGGACATTTATAATAATATAGAAATTTTATATTTTTGTACAGGTGCGTAAGGCAGCCCAACATGCAGTGTGTGTAATTTTGAAGGGCAGCAGAGTAATGGAAGAAAATGCACCTTCTTACCACCCAGCTGCTGTTCATGCTGCAAAATTTTGCATTCATCAATTGGAATCTGGGAGCTCTCTGGGAGGTTCAACCACAATGCTTCACATGATGGTTCTCCTCAAAGAGATATTGGGAACATTTCCAAAGTCACAGATGAAAGTATGTGCGATTTGGTGTTAACAGTAACTATTTTAAATTATATAGTCAAGCTCTAAAATCAAAATGGTATTCGAGGTATTTACTGGTACTTATTTTTGGTTATATTTGAGGTACTTATTTGAGGTCATTTACTGTGTTAGGACCACTTGGGTATGTCTGCAGGATGTTTATATGACTATTCTGTCCCCCTGAAAAGTATAACAGGCAGAAAAATTCTATCCAGTATTGTTGCGGAAATGAAGTTTCAATGTACAATGACATTTACTTATAAAATCCCCAAACGTGGTTTATAAATATGTACAATTTGTCATTAAATTTTTAATTTTTTCCTCTCCTAAAATTGACTGTCCATATTTTAGGTGTATTAAAGTACATTATTTTTCAGATACTGCCTTTTTTGTGATAAAACAATTGTAATTTCTTAATAATAATGTAAATCAATGGCATAATGATAAATTTCTTTCTTTCAGCAAGCATGTGAGGGCATTCTCAAAGCAATGACTTTGGGAAATGTGTTGGTTCTCTCATGTGGCATGCAGGCACTACATGGCCTGTTTCTTTCAAGACCACCTGCTACTTCCCTGTCAGGAGAATTAAATGCTCAGCTCATTTCTGCTTTATTTGATTACCAACCGGCTGCTACTGATATGCAACCAACATTGGCTTGGCTTGCTGTTATGCAAGAAGCATATGTCAATCTAGCTAGGTAAATTTATATATTACTCTTAAAGTTGGTTTTCCAGTAACATATATGTTATGGTTAAAGTTTGTGATATATGTGAATTAGCCTGTGAATTCACGTGGTTAATTGTCTGTTAATTCAAATTGGATAAAGCTGTTTGAATGGTAATGAGCTATAGCATTGTCATATAGCTATTGCACAAGTTACTAATATGGCACTGGCTAAACTATGGTGATTATCTGAGAGTAGGGTGTGTTGTGTGTTTGCAAGAAGTATTTTGTAATGTAAATACACTTGAAACTATGCAATGCAGTAGAAATAGTAAAGGTTGTTTCGTATAAACTTCATAGCCTCACTGCTCACCCCAACTTGGATATATTCAGCAAAATGACAACTATGCCATACATTGAGATTAAATATCACATAAATAGAAATATGCGACTGTCATAGTGGATCAAGAATCTACACATCTTTCGCTAGCCTTAGAAACTTCCCACCAATAGTCTGATTTCTGTTTATCACATTATATTTGCTATTCTTTGTCACTATAACATACTTAACCTAATGTTGGCTAATGTGCACTACATCTGGCTGAAGTCCAAAACTTGCTTCTAAGCTATACCTCCCTTATCCAAAATCTTTTATCCACCTTTTTTGGATATAATTCGTGAATTTTGCGGTATTCATTGTTGTAATTGTACTGATGTGCTATTGATGTTCAGTTAATTGTAATCTCTACACAGATAATATATCTTTGATATTTTGTAACAGGCTTGATTTGAACTTGTGGTGTGCAAATTTGCCTCGATTGTTTGGTGTTGCTACAAATTTATGGCTCTCAGAGAGGAATGAAATCATGAGTAATGCCACTCTTGCAATGGAAACTGTATTAGAAAGTGCAATGAAGGAAGCTTGCGCTCCTGATAAGTTTAAATTGTATAAACCTATGATACAGAAAGTAATTCATTGTGCTGAAGCAGGACTCAAGTATCAATATAATACTGCATGGCCATATGTTCTTCATCTCTTAGGAGCTATTTTTGAGGTAAGTTATAAAGACAATTTGTGAGAATGAAAATAACTGTCTGAAAAATATTTTGTCATTTCTTTAGATCCCTTTATTTAAAGACAGTTTTCAAAGTTACTCTAAAAGAAGAAATGAAAAATTTTTAACTCAGACTTGTTATGACAACAATTTTTTAAATTTTTTGTTCTAATCTCGTACAACTTTTGACAATTTAACACATTGTCATTATCAAGTACTGAAACAAAACAAATACCAAGTACGATTCTAATAAAAAGTTATAGAAGTTAATAACTAAAAAAAGTTATGTATCAAAAGGAGTTTAAAACTTAAATAGTGTACTCACCTAGGGCAAAATGAACAGATTTAAAGTTAAATTTTACATAGAATGACAAGGTTGAATTAAAACTTAAGATCACACTAGAATACATAAATAAAAATATAAAGATTGATAGTATGCTCTTAAAACATTGTTACATTTAAGTAAAATTACTTAAGATTAAAAATGTATTAGATGTAAAAAGCTTGGTGGGGGGTAAAAGCTTACCATAAAATTGTCAAGTAGAAAAAAATACCATTGAGAAATGACAGGCCAAAACACTCCAAGAAATGTACATCATTCTGCAGGATTACCACTTTCTGGACAAACAGGAAAAATCAGGGAATTTCTTTGCTCTAAGAAAATCAGGTAATTTGTTCAACAATTGTTAGAAGTCAAGGAATATTTTGTGAGTGTTTTAAAACTAGATATTGGTCTTTAAGAAATTAGTACAGGGTTTGTTTGATGAGAAAACATTGTTAATTTGTACTTTGTCATGGTATTTGTACTTTGTCATGGTGAAATGAGAGAGCTGACAAATTACTCAAGGTATCTTCAAGATTTTCTGTAATTAGTGTAAAATTACAAATCTTGTCAGAAAAATATAAAAAATGTACTGATAAGACTGGAAAATTTAGGGATTTTATTCCAGGAAATAAGTTGCCACCCTGTTCTGGCAAAGTGAAGCAAAACATAAGTCATATACAAGATAAGAGAATCTAAATGGATTGCATATGGGAACAATTAAAATAAATTAAAAATCCAAATTATCAAATTAAATTTTTTTTTCTGAGCATAAAAATCTTTATTGAATCCTAAAGGTGAGTTTTACAGTAAAGGAAATTTTGAAAATAACCTGCAAGTTGTCAAAGTAAAAGATAGTCTAAATTGAATAAAGTAAATTGGAGGTATAAACAGGGAGGAATTTGACACCATCTAACTAGTGATTGAAATCCTGCCACCATTTGGACTCAAACCCCTAGGCGTATCAGAGGAGAATGCAATGACATCAGTTGAATGCATGTGTGCTGTAATGCATTCTTGTCTTGAAATGTAATGAAAATACGGAATAGATTTTGGATTGCTTAAAGAATTCTAGAACTGCTCTTTTTGAAGTTGTTAAATCTCAATGTATATGTGAGGAAAGGAGGAAAATGTAAAAAAAAACACAAACTATTCTTATTAATATTGTCCTTACTAATAGTTTTTACTGACCTTTTTGAAACACTGATCTTTTTAAACAAACAAACAAAAATGGAAGGGGGGCAAAGTCTTATGTAGTAATCTTTTCAGGTCTTGTAGGCTTGTGAATTCTGAGAATATACGAAACAATGTTGATATGTATAATGTGTACAATATATACAACATCAGCAAGGACTGGGAAGTATATACACTGAGAATTCAAAGAATACGCTCTACACTGCCACCAGACAAATGGTATATTTTATTTCTAATGAGTTCTAGTCCTTGCATAGTGTAAACACCTGGAGCTGTAATCTGCGGTATACTTCCACAGTTGAATATTTTGATTAATATCTTGAATGAGAACCCATGAATTATTGTTTTACAACAGCACAGAAGAGAAGAAATAAAACAAATCTTTTGAAAATAAATTTTTATTTAAAATGCTAAGAATTTTCATTTAGAAAGAAGTTTAGGCTTTCTACTCAACTGAATTTCATGTTTTGTTTCTTGAAATAAAAGGTAATGTGTCATTGTGTTCTCTTATTAACTCATTTTATCATATAAAGATGAAATTTTAATATCTGAAAATTAATAGAATGCTCATTATGTCATTTTCATAGTTCAATATTTAGTTGTGCCATTTGAAATCATTTATTAAAAGCATGCGAGTGAAAGGTTATAGTTCGCAAAGATAGCAAGTTTTTTTTAAGTTCAAGGGTAAGTTATTTTTATTGCAATTGTAAGTGAGTGTGCATTATTCTGCCATGACTTTTCACTGATTATAGTTATATGAACTGCGTTAGATTTTTTAAGTAAAGTTGGAATGCTTACTATAATCTACAACATATATGCTAAGATCTTGTAAATATTAAACAATTTTGATTAAAAAATTCAGAAAATGTTTACTTCTTGATATAAATAGTGGTTCTATTGATCCAGAATTCGTAAATATTCCTCATTTCATTAGTTGTTTCACTAGTCAAGAATATATTCTGAATGCTATGAATCATCATTTTTGGGGGTTTGATTTTCCAGACAGGTCATAAGTAGTACTTGTAGCCTTTCTACGCCTCTTACGTATATGTGGTGTAATCGCAAGGGTTCAATTAGTTTATTTTAATGCTCAAATTATAAAAATATGTGATTTGGTGCTTTTTGAAGGAAGCAACAATGTTGGTTAAAAATGAGTGATAAGGGCAGCTGTTTGTTGATTGTGGGGAGGATTTTATGAAAATTATCTTCTGCAGCTTGTGTTTCTTAATAATAGTAGTGTGGGGTGGGGTAAGTGGAATTCTAAAACACTGATAATTTAGTGTTACTTCAGCAAAATACATTGTGCAGGTTCCCTGCAGTTTCTGAACACCATTTTAAATTCTTCAGTTGCTAGAGTACAGTTCAGTCGCTGTCTGGAGGAGAATTCTAGGGATTGGCTGCTCTGATCGGTAGTTTTGTGGTTTTTCCGTTCAAAACCTGGCGAATGCCGGAGCAGTACCATAACAAATGAGCCATGGACTATGCACAATATTTCCTTCCTCTTCCTTATCCTATCCACACCCCTTACACTAACATGCACTACATTACCACACATGCCAGAAAACCAACCGGGGGCTTAGAGCTAGTCCCGGCTGGGGAGGTGCCCTGCTGATGGGAAATACCTTTTTGGGAAAAGAAACGCTAGTCAACGGTAGGAGATATATGGTGGATCCCACCATCCAGTGGTGGAAGATCACTACCGCCACCTGATGGGAAAAACATGCACTACATTTATGGGAATACTAATCTTGTTAATTGGCGCTCTCAGAATCACTGACAATCAATCAATCCATTAGAGTACAGTCTATGATAATGTGCTAATTACCAAGAAAATTTAGTAGAATGCCTGTATGTTTTAAAATAAAAGTGTGTTTCTTGCAGTAAGTTTTTTTTATTGATGTTCACTTCTTTTTTGTAAATATCTGTTTTCTCATAATTAAATATTCATGAACTATTGGTTGTTTAGTTCACAGGTGAATCGTGTTATAGTCTCCTGGAATCGTGCTTGAAATCACTTGGGGAGTTACGTGATTCAGAGCAATTTTCATTTCGAAATGAACTAGAAAATGCAGTAGGGCGAGCAATTAAATCTATGGGTCCTGAAAAAGTTTTATCAGCCATTCCGTTACAGGTATTAATTGAAAACTTTGATCCACTTTTTGTTTATAATGTTTAATTTCTTCATTTATGTGCTTTTGGTTTTTAGATTACAGGCTCTGAAACTAATTATGAATTCAAACGGAGTTGGATGCTGCCTGTCTTGAAAGAGAATATTAACGGTGCTCCTTTAAAATTTTTTATCACCTACTTTCTTCCAATAGCTACTGCGTGCAGGTGAGATCTCTATGCAGTTTTTATTAATAATTTGTTTATCCAGCTATTGTAGTTAATACAAGGTGAGGAGTTGAGTCAAAATCGCCTGATTGCATGTTTGTTTTTACAGTAATAATTTTACTGTTTTATCAGATAGGTATTTGATTTTTCTTTATGCTCTTACCCCGTTTTTCACATTTTATTTTGAAGTAGAATATATTGTGTGAATACCTTCGAAGCTTAACACACTTGTAACTAAAGAGAGAGAGAGATAAAGAAAATACTCAAAATTAAATTAGTTATTAGTGACATGATTCCCTATATTATTGCACAGTGCATACTGTGTATTGTATTTCTTACAGAATGAGACATGAGAAGTGCACTATAAAACAAGGAAAAATGATTTGCTAGTCCTGTTCTTATTAAAAAGAAATATTAAAAAATAATAATAATAAATGTAATGATGCAACATGAGTGTTGTACAACATTTGTTAAAGCAAGTGTTTTATAAACAAGGTTGTTTGCAGGTGAAGGAATGACAAGAATCAGTGTTTTAGGAAATAACATCAGAGACTGGTAAATTTTTGTGTCAGATTGCATATAGTAAAAAAGTGGAAAATGTTTCTGTAATTTATAGTGATTATAAACTCATATACACGCATATATAGGTTCATTAAAACAAATCAAGTTTGTGTGTACGTGCGTTCACACGTATGTGTTTTTTTCAACTGGAAGTAGCATGATATTGTGTTGAAAAATAAAATTAAAATCTTAATATAAGACTTGAATACATATTTATTTGTTTACATGTTCTTCTCTTTGTCAAAAAGTTCTCTTTGTCATGGCCAAAAAGTCCACATTTTACTGAATTCTAGCTCGCTGACTCATCATTGTTTTCTGAAAGCAATTAATCCTTCTTTCTTTTCTTATGCCCTCTGACTTTCTGCCAATATTAGTGTCTCTCTCTCCTTCCTCCCTCTCCTTCCTCTCTCTCCTTCCTCTCTCTCCTTCCTCTCTCTCCTCGCTCTCTCTCTCCTCGCTCTCTCTCTCCTCGCTCTCTCTCTCCTCGCTCTC